GTGTGTCCCCCTCGCCAAGGAGCTTGCTATCTTAGGCACATCCCCAGCTCTTGGTCTCCTTTTCCCTTTACTAACCTTCCTTCTAAGACACTGACTGATCACTTTCCCATACACCTCTCCTTCCAGTTCCTTCACTTTCCCAATCTGTCTGCTCCAAGCCACAGTAAATTCATCTCTCTCCAGGCAGTGGATTCAGTGTTACCTTTATTTTACATGCTCAAGACACATCTATTCCCCAGAAGGGTCTGAGAGCAAAGGAATTAATGCTGGCTGAACTGTGAGAAAAGCCTCAGCTGAACCAGCAAGCACCAGCACTGAGTACTGGTGGTTGTTGGTGATGGGTGTAAGGCAGGGGTGAGATCTCTACTGCCTGTCTGTTCCGTGGGCTGGAGGCCCAAGTTGTGGGCCAGATGCCTGAAGCTATTGCCAGCCCCATTCCCATTGCTCCTAAGGTGAGCTGCACATCCCACTCCTGGGAGCAGCTGGAACATTTGGCTCATGGGAGTGCTGGAGACCCACAGCTGATGGCTGATGGCTTCACAGCAGGGCTGACCTGTGCCTGGGAGAAGTGGTGAGACACTCCTGGCCTTTGGGACCACAGTGTGGTCCCCCTTGTCTCCAGTGATCGTGTTAAGTAAAGCCTTGCTGGGGAGAGAGCAGGCCTTGACTGGAAAGCCCCACTGCTCTGTAAACACAAACAAATCAGCCCCCATCACCTGCTTCCCTTCTTTATCTCTACATGTAATTTAAAACACCCTCCAGCCTCCCAAAGTCAAGCTTCAGCTGCTTCCCATCCCCTTAAGCCCCTTTAGTTCCTCTCCCCCTCCCTAACCTAGCTGCTTTTCCAGGGCCAACCATCACTGCAGAGACAAGTTGCTCTTCTCTCCCACTCTCTGATCCTTTCTGTCCTGGGTGAATGTGGTGGGAACCACCCACAGCGTGTTTTCGTGCATGCGTTTCTGCAGCCACCCCTCCCCCCGCCTAGTTTTTTAAGTTAAACTATCTCTTGCTTTAAAGAGAGCAAATACACAGCAGTGGCTTTCATCACTGCTGTATAATAGAGCAGTAATTCTGTGCCAGGGACTGTTTTCTATTTTATTTTAAAGGGTTTATAAAACAGTGTATGTAATTGAGTGAGTAAACTGAACGTTTTCTGGAGCCCCTGAGGGCTGAAACTTCGTGGTGGTCCTGGGCCTAGGCCCTAACCCTTTTTTTTTCTCTTCTTTTTTTTTTTTTTTCCCTCCCTTTCCCCTCCTTCCCCTCCTCCTTTACAACCCAGCGTTGCCACCAGCAGCAGCAGAAGCAATCTGTCTGGGGCTAATTGAGCAAACAACAAGGAGATGCTTTCACATGGCTTTTAAAGGAATGCTCCGGCATCCCATTTCTGTGAGCAGCTTGGCAGGAACCTGCCAGGAAGGCTGGGGAGCGCTGGGTCCCGGCCCCCAGCCTGCTGGTGGGGTTTGTGCTGGGCTGCGCAGTCATTTCCGCCCCTCTGTTTATTTGCATTACAATTTGTTTTTAGCCAAGCACCAAAAGCTGCTCTGCTTTCTAGCTCGCCTTGTGCGTATGTTTTTAAGGGGCTAGTGTACAGTATGTGTAAACAAATGTCTTCCCAAGCAGGAACGCATATATAACAAGTGACAGGTTTTTGATTTACGCTCAGTAAAATCTCCGTGGACACTCGGTTCAAGCACCCAGGCTGACTTCAGGCTGGGCTGCGTCAGCAAGTTGAAGCGAAGTGCTAATCAGGAGGTTGAATGTGTTGATCAGCTCTGGATTTGCTTAGCACCAGATGCTCCCAATCTGAGAAGATCTAGTTGAACATGATTTAAGGCTGTAGAGCCCAACTCTTGAGGCTTTCTGAAAAGTCCCTTCTCTAATCCCTCTTCTTTCTCTGTGGGCTGAATGCATCTGTAACCCTGCCAGTGTCAGATAAAAGGCAGCCTGGTAAGAAATCCCTAATGGGGAGCTGGGGAAGGAGAAAGGGAGCTGAACAGTGAAGCATGTGAGGTACTTCTCCCTCCTCCCCCGGAGTTTCAGGCAGAGTTTCTGCAGGAACTGAGCTTGCTGGTACCAGCCAGAGCCACTGGCAACTGGCAGCCACATCTGATAATGAAACGCTATCCACAGCTCAGCTCTCTGGCACACACACTGGAGTCTGAATTCCCTCTGTAAGGAGAGCTTTGGGAAGGGAAGAGGGAAGCAGGGTGAATCCTTATCTGCCTATCGCATCCCCTCGGGGTGCGGAATTGGGCTTTGTTTCTAGAAAAACCATTCCCTTTATCACTTAAAAACTTTCTTGCGGATTTTAGACAGGCAGATTCATGTGTTTTCTTTAAGCCTGTACAAGAAGAAATTAGTTTGGTGATTTCTTGTCAGTCTGAGGCAGCAGTGACATACTGGCCAGGCCGTGTGTGTCCACTTTGGGGAGTCTGAGCCACATGATCAAGGAGGAGATGAAACAGACAGAGGGATAGGAGATGAGGGAATGCATGATTTCCCATGTGGCTTTGGCTACTTAAGCTCCCTAAACTCACTGCTGCCTTGGTTTCCTCATCTGTTAAACAGGAATGCTCTTACTCACCCGCTCTCAAAAAGCATTTTTAACTCATCAGGTGTAAAATGAAAGATATCATAAGGCAGCTGCAAGCGTGTCAGTGCAAAATACAAGGAGTTGGTACCACCTTTGCAGCAAGGTATGTGATAGGACCCATCCCAGCTCTGCACGTTTAGGACAGTGAAGGATGCTGTCTGAAATGAAGCAAGAAGTTGCTTATTAAAAAGTATTGCTACAGATAACCTATATATAGAACCATAAATTGACATGGCTCTTATAAGCCTAGATGAAGGCATGTTTAATCTGCAGAGGCATAACGTAATTAGTCTCACTGGATGGTAGCCAGGGTCTTATTCACATCATAGAAATCAACATGATAGGTAGTCTGCTTGGAGGAGGTTCAGGAATGGAGTCACAGGAGTTGCTACAGGGCCTGTTTGAGATATATTGGGAAAGTTGTTGGGGGTGAGGAATGTTACAGCAAGGAGTGCTGCAGGTTGGATTTGAGGTACCTTGGCAAAGCTGTGTGGGGTCCAGGACGGGAGGAGAGAGGTGCTGAAGGCTGGACTTGGGGCTATTGGCAGAGCTGTGCTGGAGAGGTTGTGTGGTGCTACCTACATCACACTTGCACCTGGCACTTGTACAGTCAGCCCCTCATTTTCCTGAGCACTGCATCCACTTCTGCTCATTCTGCCCAAAGTGCTGGAGATTAGGCTCCACGTTCCAATTTTGAGCTCCAAGGTGTTAGCATGAGCCTCCAGGACTAATTACCTAGTCACTAAATACCCTGAGCAAAGAGCTAAATGTCTTGATCTGATGGTGAAGGTGAGAATAAACTCCTTGGTCTATTTTCACCTTCATGAAGAGTCTCTGAAGGGCAGTCTGTGTGGGTCACCCACTCTGTCCCTCAGGCTGAGGAGACAGCAGGATGCGTATGATTGTAGGGTGGGGGTTGTGGTGGGAAATAATCTTGCCACATCCAAAACTCCTTTAAGTTTATAGAGCAGAATTTGGTCAAACCTTCACTGAAGCAATGGTTTTCATGATGCAAAGGTTATGTGTTGAATTTTAAACCTGGAGAAGCATCATGTTGGCCCGGCCAGTTTGGGGATTGCCAGGAATTTCTTCACTTAGCCAAAGGTGGCGTGTTTGTTGTTGTGCAGCTGTCTTGCAAAATCCACTCCCCTGAGGGGAGGAGTTTAGGTGGGTAAATAAAACACAACTCATCGTTTCCATCATCCTTGGCTGTCTACCCCCACTACTGTGTAAGGTGTGAGAAGCACCACAGCCTCCACTGGTGTATCCCATCACCTCACAGCCCTCTGTGCTTCATCCCAGGCTTCAGAGCCAATTGTTATTTCTCATGTGCAGGAGGTAAGATGAAGAGCCTAGGGGCATGGGTCACACCACCTGAGCTCCACCTGAATAGGTGTCCAGCTCCCAGAGAGCAATTTAGATTCGCCACCTCCCCCACAGTACCCTGAGGACACCCACTTCGAGCGCAGCAGCTTTGTGTCACACTCTGAGGCCACACTCTTGGGTTTTTTAGGCACTGGGCTTTCACTTGCATGTTTTTATTATTTTGGCTTTAGATCCCTTATTTGCAGTCCTTCCCTGACAAGCTGTTTTTGCATTTTAAAGGGAAGGCTCTTTCAGTACAGTGTGTTAACAGTGCTGGGGCAGGGACTGGCACATTAATGTGTCCACTGGGACTGTGCAGAGCTCCTGGGAACAGGCAAAGGAGTGACCTTGCAGAAATTATTCCTGCAACAAATTTGCTCCACAGAGGTCTGAGGAGAGCTGTCCACCATTACCCTCAGAGATGATAACTGTGCTCAGAGAACTTGCTTCACACAGACACATTTGGAGAGGCTACATCCAAAAGGGAGAAATCAGGTTTAAATTTTTTAAAAACACCATCCCTTTATTTTTAAGATGCCAGGGCTGAGTTGGGATTGCTGAGAGGATCTCACACTGTCTCAGCAATGCCCCCCCTGTGCTGAGCAGCCCCTCTCCTCTCCAGCCTCTAAGCAGTTTGAGGGCGCACCGTGCTTTTTGTGGCCAGGGTGGATTACTGATCTTTTAATTTTATGTCAGCTCTCCATGTTGGGTGTTGATGGTTCCTTGCCTTGACCTAGGTGTACACCTGTCAGTAGCAGCTGTGACTTCCATAGGGCCTCTCTTGTTTATTAGTGACACATACATGTGAAAACTCTCATTAGAGAAACCTCCTGATGTTTAGTCAGTTGTTTAGGCTTTTGCCATGTGTGTGGGATACTGTCAGAGAGACGCTGGAGTCCAGAGAAAGGCAGCAAATCCCTGTTTGAGCTCCCCAGAATCTGCTTTTCTTGTTTGTTTTAAAGTTGCAGGTTTAAAAAATGCAAAGTGTGAAGCTTTGCTGCAAAACTCAATTCCTCTTCTTTTCCTCCCTCTGTCTTTTCAGCCAAACATGTTAATGAAGTCATTGTGGGCACCGAACAGCTGATGGAGATATAACCCGAGTAGGTTTTAAAGATGATTTTATGGAAGCCAGCGGCAGAACCAGATGTTCAAGCATCGTAAGATCATCCGTACAGATCAGTACTGGCACGGTTTACCATGTCATTTCTCCTTTCCTGTTCAGCTTTATATTTATGTCTTAATAAAGAAGTATTTACAGAGCAGTGTGTCCGTCAGCCCCTCCCCCCTCATTGGGATGCGCGGGGTTTGTGCCGGTAATATCGGTTCCTGCGCGCTCGGCCAACGCACTGTACTTTTCCAGCAGAAGGGAGCGCGGGGACCACACAGACTGTGCCCACTCCAAAGAATGACTTAGCCACCCTCCCTGCAGTGTAAACCACGTCCCTGCAGTCCTGCACCACCGTCCCCGAGCCTGAGAGAAACTGCTCGAGATGCTGCTTGTGCATCTCATCAACGCAGCGGGCGGACAGTGAAAACAGCGGCAATTTTTTTTTTGGCAGCTTCATCAGCCGCCTCTGCCTCCTCTCATGGTGCTGCCCTGCAGCACAGAAGTGTTTAATCTGTGCCTCTTCTCCTCTGTAATGCAGTCAAGGAGTTTGACACCCATTTCCATCAGGGCTGAGTTTGGTCTGATACTCTGAAATCCTGCCCAAGAGCAAGTATGTTAGGGCTGGGGGAGCATGGAGGGGCTGCAGGGTGTAATCGGTGGGTACTCCCTGCCTTATTTTGATGGTTCTTTGGCTTGTCAGTTCGCTGTCCCTCATCCGAGACAAGAGGTCCTTCCCCACACTTGGATGGTCTGTGGATGACTGTACCTACGTCTGTGAGATGAGTCGCGTGTGCTAATGTGAAATGCACAGCCTTGTGGTCAGGGGTTGTGCCAGGATTGTAAAGCATCTGGATGGGATTGAAACGCAAGCTGTTCTTTAATGTTTATAAATTGGACACAAGTTCCTACCTAAAAACTGTTTATTAGAATGTAGTAGGATTGAACAGGACATTTGTCTGCCCCTGGCAGCTTGACATCCAGAGGTGCTTACAGCAACTGGCAGGGATGGTATTTCATTAACTGAAGTGATAAATGTTAAATGCTTCATGGGCACCAGTGACCCTGAGGAGAATTACCATCTCCTAGTTAATTTGACAGGAGAGAGATTATAATCCAGACATTGCCTGACTTTCATAAACAAAATCCTTCCTCTAAAGGACTGGATTGGAATGGAAACTATGGGTAAGGATGAGCTTCAAGGCCTGTGACAAGCTGCAGAGAGAAGAAACGCGCTGCAGTTCAGCTCCAGCTTTGTGCTGGAGGTTTTGCCGTGCGTATGTGTGCAAACATGTTCCTAAAGTACGAAGCCTTTTTCATCCAAGGATCGCAGAGGCTTTACAAAGGTTAATTAAAGAGAGTTCTTGTCTCTGTGTACGGCAAGGGAGTGAGGCTCCATTTTGGGTGTGTAGAAACAGAAGCAGAGTGGAGCATAATTACCTGGCTTTGCATTTTACCAGAAGGCTGGCAAAGCCAAGAGAGGTCTGCAGGGACTTTGACTCATGGTCCTTTTGCTTAAACACAAAGCCTTCTCTCTCTCTGTTTTTAGGATACATCCTAGCTTCTGAAAAGCCTGCATCCCCTTGCTTAACAGCTACAGCTTTACCTCCATGTGCCTTAATTATATGTTAAAGTCTCAGTCCTTTTGTTTAGCTAATTTAAGAAGAGGGTGGGGGGCTCTTTACTGTGTCGGTTAGAATTTAGCATTAATTTAGTGTTCTCTGACACTTGAAAACCTGGCTGGGATTTGAGGCATTTTCTTTTCCTTTTTGCCTTTTACAACCTGCAGGTGTTTGGTGTGAGATAAAAGTAGATCCCAAAGTGAGATTTCACAGCACAAATTATCAAAGTGAAGATTCACTCTTGATGTAGTCTACGTGTGTGGCAGTAATTATGAAAAATAGTTCAGGATAATAGGGCCTTCAGGAATCTCAAGGCGGGCACTGGGAGGTTAACCCTTCCTCATCTAACCTGGCCTCCCCGCTGCTGTCATCAGCAGGTGAGCAGATGATGGGTTGAGTCAGGCAACTTCACAAACCAAGTGATGTTACAGCTGTCAAGAAAATCAGGGAGGTGACTGAGGACATGAAATTTTGTTTCCAAGTAGTTTTGGATGTGATCGTTTGGTCCTAGGTCATACAGACCTTCAGGAAGGTGTTACTGGTACAGGCTGCTCACCAGCTTTGAGGAGTGGGGCTCCTCTCAGACACAGGTAAGGTGCTCACTGTGCTGCTCTGTCACACCCAGGCAGCTGAGCATTGCAGCCCATGCCCATCACAGTGCTATGGGCACCAAGATAACACTTTATAGGCAATGCTTCTCTGAAAGAGGTGGAATTTTCCAGCTCTGTAGATGCTGATGCTTTCTGGACGGGTTTGTCCTGAACACTTCCTTGGCAGATATGCAGCCAGGGTTGCTGTGAAAAGGGTCTTGTAGTGACTTGTCACATGCTGCATGGGATAAAGCAGAGGTTTGCCATGATGCCTAGTGAGGTACCCAACCAACAGCACCACTGAGCAGTGTCTTGCCAGCAGCACCCAGGCTTTTTCTGTGAGCAGGGCAGCAGGGTTGGTGTGGGTGCAGAGCCCAGCAGCAGTGTGTGCACACATCTGGCCACACTTCATCCTGTGGGTCCTCCTCACCCTGGCTCCCATGAGAGCAGGGTACCACCAGCAGCAGCTCTGCAGCAAGGTCCTCACCAGGATGTTTGCAGCCAAGCCCATTTGCAAGACACTGATCTGGGAAAAGCATTTCTGGGGCAGTTACCCAAAGCTGTGACTCACCTCCCTCGACTGTTCATGGTCACTTTTGTAGGTGACTGTTGGGATCTCTCAGGAAGCAGCATCTTATCCCTTCTGCAGTCAAACCAAAGTGGATGGTTCCCATCTTCCTGGCAGCCTTGGAGTGGAGCCACACAAGGCAATACAAACAGCCAGCCATTCCCAGGCTTCCCACCCTCGTGGTTTCAAAGGGACACAAAACCTTTGCACCCAGCTCTGATCTCACTTTTAGGACAATTTTTTGACTTGTGGGCAGGGCGAGCAGTGCCAGCCTAAGAGTTCTATGGCCTCGGGTGTGCAGGTCTGGCTCCCCCATCACCGATCCAACTGTGTGTGCAGCCTTTGCAATAGGACTCTCCTGCACCTCTTGGAGCTGGGACCACAAGGACTCACCAGTCTTTTACTTCCCCTGGTCTC